AAGCAAATAGCTGCGCTATCCATGTATCTGTAAATGGGTGTCGCTGCAACTGTAGCAGAACGCTGTTTATTGCCCAAAAATGGACAGCAAACAGCTGCCCCATGTCCATGCATCTGTAAACGGCTGTCGTTGCAGCTGTAGCAAAACGCTTCCGTTTAGTGCCGAAAAATGTACAGCAAACAACTGCCCTATATATCCATTCATTCGTAAACGGCTGCAGCTGTGTCAGACACATGGACTGAGCAGCGTTGGAGAGGATATTGCATTGTCATTTTTACGCTGTAACTGCAGCTCTGAGGCGCTGCTGGTCGTCACGGGAACACAAGCGTCGAGATAAAGAAGCAATCGCCCCATAAAACACACCGCTGTAAAAATGTTGCTTGCCAGTTTCATGGGATTGGTCGCAAATTAAAATGACCACAAGCCATGCAAATTTTAATTAGTAGCTTGCATTTGAGATCTTGTTTTTCAAAGCCTGTTGAAAATTTCGCTAGGAGAGGCGGGTACAACATTTTTCGTTGGGCCGAACTCTTTCGGATGGCAGAGTTTCCTAAATGACATAGAACTCAAAGGAATAAGGTGTGTGTTTTTCACTGGAAGATGTTTTTAAATACATTCACTTATGTTATTACAACTACAATCTTCTTCTCTAGTTTGTTCAGGGCCGATGCCTGAACAAAACTTAATGACATAAGATATTGTCGTTTGATTATGATTTAATTATAATTCTTCGTCAATAGATAATATAGTACCGCTAATAGTGGGATAGCAATAGTGATTTTTAAACGTTACTCTTCAGAGGAAGCGGGGAAATCTAACAGAGCCCTTCTGTTAATTTCACAATTTTACACTCAGAAAATGAATTGGTCATCTCGTTCAACTAGTGACACACTTCTGCTCCGCAGCAAGTGCAGAGGAGCTGACGTAGCACTGATACGTCCTTTGACCAGGCCAAACCGTGCCACTATGACTCACACAATGGCAGAAAATGCATCACCGTTTGGACAAATTCTTACTCATTTCCCGTAGTGTAGGAAGACTGCGGTGGAGATATAGAAGACGGAATTTAATAACAGACTTGCGTGGGCCCCTTGCACTCCTCATGCAGTTATCACTCAAATTTTCTGCCTGCTGGCCTGCTCTGAAAAATTTTTGTGTGAATTTGTTGGGCATCTTCTTAGGCCTATAAGTTGAGTCAACTACTAGTGGAGAGAAATTAAGTAGAGGATAGATATTGTAGTGGATAGAAATTGAAATGGATAGAGTGAAGTGGATGGAAATTAAAGAAATTAAATGCTGCAGCAGTCTTGTTACAATACAGCACCAGTCTTGGAACAATACTGCAGCAGTCTTGTTACAAGACAGCAGCAATCTTGTAACAATATTGCAGTAGTCTTGTTACAATACAGCAGTAGTCTTGTAACAATACAACAATAGTCATGTAATAATACAGCAGCTGTCTTGTAACAATTCAACAATAGTCTTGTAACAAACACAGCAGCAGTCTTGTAACGATACAGCAGCAGTCATGTAACAATTCTGCAATGGTCTTGTAACAATACTGCAACAGTCTTGTAACAATTCTGCAATAGTGTTGTACCAATACGGCATCAGTCTTGTTACAATACTGCACCAGTCTTGTAACAATACTACAACAGTCATGTAACAATAGTGCAACAGTCATGTAACAATAGAGCAACAGTCTTGTAACAATACTGCAGCCGTCTTGTAACAATACGGCAACAGTCTTGTAACAATAGTGCAGCAAGGAATTTAAAAGCAAAGAAAACGCCAAGAAAATTCACCATATCGATATTGAAAACGATATGGTGAATTTTCTTGGCGTTTTCTTTGCTTTTAAATTCCTTGTGAACTTGCGATATAAGCAGACTAATGATATAAGTACTTAAATACTGCAGCAGTCTTGTAACAATACTGCAGCAGTTTTGTAACAGCACTGCAATAGTCTTGTAACAATACGGCAACAGTCTTGTAACAATACTGCAGCAGTCTTGTAACAATACGGCAACAGTCTTGTAACAATACTGTTTCATTATCAGAGATTGTTGAACATTGATGTCAGAGAGCGTTGAACTTTGATTTTTTTCATTTTCTTCCCATAAAATTCGTCTTAACAAATAATGTAATTTCAGAATGAATTGTTTACCTAACTATTGGTTTTATTTTTATGAAAGTTTATAAAATTTGTTCTGACGTTATAATACAAAAGTGCCTGTCCCATTTTTCAATTATTGGCCCAAGGTTTTAGTGATCTGAGCCCTCTGCTATGCTTAAACTTTTCTCAAATTAAAAGTTCCAATTACTTAATTAATACTGTATATTGTAATTGATGAACTCATCATTTCTACATTGAAAACACTCATCACACACGCTAATCAATCAGTATAAAGCTTTATGATGTGTATATACGGTGTAGAAAACCCTTAATGAATTATTACTGTAGCTTCAATGCTTATAGTCTCGTTGGGACTTATAGAGAATTGAATTGTCGATATTAAACAGTGTGAGGTGACTGACAGTGAGTGACATAATGACAGTGAGACAGTGACAGCGTTTACTGACAGATAGTGGCACAACACCAACCATTAACTCCTCACATGTACCTCACAACACCAACCATTAACTCCTCACATGTACCTCACAACACCAACCATTAACTCCTCACATGTACCTCACACGGAGATGGCAGATCCACTTCATTTATTTGACTTGTGTTATGTTCCTATAAGGCAATTTGAAAAATCCATAATATTATGACCTTAAAGAGTTAGAGATGCATATCATGAACCTAAATAATGAAATAATGTGCATAATAGTTTAATATTCAAACATTATAATAACATGAACCTTTATTTGTTAAATTTCCGGTATTAAATAAATATTTAAAATATATATTTTTGCTAATATAGAATAATAACCTACATTAATAACGATGGTTAAACTATTCGTAAGTTTTTATAGACGAAAGTTAAGCCTGTTTCTGTACAAAAGCACTAGTGTGCGCCTAACAAACTAGACTTTGAAGGGCTTGTCTTCTTAACATTTAATTATTATTTGTTTCAGATTAAATAAGTTTTTATTATCGGGCAACAAGCCGTTCGCACGTGGTTCTCGGTAAAAAATAAGATTTATTGACTTTTTCTCAAGTCGCTACACATCAACCGAGGGATTATATTTCCACATGGAAGAGGCCAGGCAGGGCAAGATTAAAATGAACAAAATTCTGAAGTGTTGTATGAAGTGTGGTTAATCCAAGAATTTATGTTTTGAAATTACTTCCTGAATTTAATTTGCGAAGAGACATCTTTAAATTTGGAGTTTCAAATGACAATTTTCCGCTTGCGACTCATTACCAAACTTGAGTTGACCATGAAATTGTATTTTAATTCATTGAAAATTTAACCCCGTGCTTTGTGATCAAATTTCGGTAATTTTCTACCGATATTGAAAGACTGTATTGAACTGAAAGTAAATTTGACCTGCGTTGAAGTTATTGATGTTAACGCATTGGAATGTTTACCCGAATAAAAGTTTAAAACATGATTTCTGAAACTAACACAAGAATGACATAAGAATCATAAACTAAGCAAATATTCAGTATTAGTGAATAATGTAAGTTGAAACAAATATGTTGAGAACTCGCGCTTCCACAAACTTCCCGTCTATGTAGCAGCCTCAAACGACGACAAACAGAAAATTCTGTCAAATTACTGAAGATTGAATGTAATTTTTTATGCATAGTACAGCAATTTTCCATGGAAAAATGTACTTCTTTTACTGTAATGGTGTTAATGACAGCAGACTACAGAAATAAGAATGCGCGATGAGTGTTCCATGATATGTGATGGACTGAATGAAGTATTATCATGTTTTTATTTTGCTTATTCCACGATTTAAGCAACAGAATTTTCTGCAGCCAGGTTTGTCATGGAAAAATTTTGTTTCCAGTCTAAATACCTAAGAAGCAACAAGAGTGCACCACATGAGATTCGCGACCAGAGTCAAGTTGGGAATGCGGTTGACTTCAGCAATAAAATGCACACCAATAGAATGACAACGGCAAGCTTTATTGTTACCAGTCAAGACGAGGCAACGCAGTCTTCAATAGCGATGTTTGTGTTGCCCTCTGAGTTGTTATTGCAAAGTGAGAACTCGCGAATCAAATTTCTAGAGACATCGAGATCAGAAGTTCCTTATAGTCAGAACTTCATTTACAATAAATTCAAAAGAGATTTGTGAGAAATGAGTCTTCGCAAAAACACACAAAATCAGTTAGTTCCTGAAGAAAATTTCTACTCATCTCTGATTTCAACATTTTTTGAATAAACCATTACAAATAGTAACAAAAATTTTCAGAATGAAACAAGCCCTCAAAAACAGGTATAATACGAAAGGCTCAAACCCAAAGCTCAATTAAAATTCAACGAATCCTTCCACTTTACCGGTTATGACCTTAAAAGTCGGAACGATTTGAAAAATCTGCTGCAGAACTGCAGCTCGGGAGAGGGCGGAAACCAGTGCAAGAATTTCTATGAACTCAATATCACAAGCGTGGAGAATAAACTGAAAACGATGATCATTAACCCGAACGACGTTTTTTATTAAAGATAATGATCTCGACCTTAAAGGACTTGATTACAAGAAGCAAACTCCAACCTCATCGCAGCTCTAGGGCCAATAATCTGAACGCCTCCAATACGTTGAAGAAATCGAATTTGTACCTCGAATATCGATAGTATAGACAATTAAGAACCGTGCTGACAATCGTGCCTCTAAAGTGGTTTAGTCCAGGCAGGTAATTCTTACCTTTCAGAAGATTTAAAATCGGGAAAACTCCATGAATTTTTTCCATGCGGAGCAGAAGCGCAGCAGTCGGACGCTGCTGGAGCAGCGAAAGAAGCTGCGACCGAAAAAGTCTCCGCCGTCTCCTCAGCAGCGACACAAGAAGCACAAAAAAGCGGAAACTCCGCAAGCCGCGGCCCACAGAGTGAACGTCGTTGAGGAAATCCCCACTCTTGATGTTGGTGAGTCTTTGCATGGGGACACTCTTGATGTTGGTGAGTCTTTGAATGGGGAAACAGGATCCCCACTCATGATGTTGGTGAGTCTTGGAATGGGGAAACCAGAACCCTGTACATTTTCTAGTAACTGGCGAGTGACTTGACTGGGGAGTGACTTGACTGGGGAGTGACTTGACTGGGGAGTGACGGTCAAGTAAAGTTCAGAGTCGTGAGTAATAACTTTAATTTACTTGCCGAAATAGCATTGAATGCGAAGAAAAGGATAACTTGGTTGGTTTAAGGAGTCTATTTCTCTGTGCACAGTGAGTACCTTGATAAAAATATTTCGATTAAAGTTGAGAGTCAGGAAATGTAGACAAATTAAAGATAATATGATTAATTTACTTTAAAGATAGTCATTGAATGGAAAAATCGGATCTGTAAGATTTTTTTGGAACCGTCCGTTTTCTTCCAACTGGAGAGTGCTTTCTTTAAGTCATGTGTGTACAGTTGTGAGCGAAGGAAAAACTTTTTTAAAAAATCAATACTCCTTGCAGTGAGTGACAGAGAGCGCATTTTCTCAAAATCGACGAAAACGTGAAGTCACATGCAGACAGACAGACGGACGGACAGACGGACGGACATGGCGCGCACAATAGCGCCTTTTTTCGATAAATGTGAAAATGCGCTAAAATTACGATTTGCTAAGAAACTTTATCAGTGAATTATCAAACTTTATCAGTGAATTAAAAAAGGCACTGATATATAAAAACTTTATATCTAATCTTATTTTCCAGGAATTCATAGACTATATTAAATCAGCTGCAAGTTAATTATTGGTTATTTGAGTCTGACTAAATTTTTGGTAGAGGTTGATATCACCAGTGTTAGGCTTTCTTCTCAACATATTATACCGAACATACATATGAGTTTGAATGAACTGCTTGTTATTTTATTGTAAGCCGTAAATTATCCTATTAACATAAATTATAGGTGTAGAGTTAAATGCTAGGTACATGAATAAAATGTACAACTTCTTTGCAAAATTGCGGTGATTTCAAATTTGCTTTGAAGAATCTTCATCTCGTTTTAGAAATTCCTAACTGATTTTCATCGATATAGAGAAGGAAATTTAATGCTTGATATTTGATGTATCATTAAATTGTATTTGTTCGAGCTTTTTATTATCAAATCTTCATTGTAAATAACAAAGACTAAACGCTTGTGGAAAATTGCTGCCGAAAATTTAATTGCATCCCATCAATGCCTAATATTATTTTTAAAAAATCTTCGTTGTATGAAACTAAGTATTGAATTCATCAATTTCACAATGACTGATATTTCAAAAACAATTTATACCCCTGATAATAAATTATTTAGGAAAAATATCACCGAATAATTGTACTTAGATTTAAATTAAGCGAATTAGGATTCTATGAAATCAAAATAATAATGGAAATTATCATAAAATAAGTAAAAAGTCACTAATAAACACTGATTATATTTCCCAACGATAAATTACCAAGCCCCACAGCTTAAGCCGGTGCCATATGGGTTAGGATGACTCGCACAAGGGCGAAAAGTTCATTGCTATTTGGACAATGTTTCGTTCATTCTTCTGAGTGTAGGGATATTCATTTTATATGCATCTAGGAAAAATGGATCTAGGAAAATGAAAATGCATATAAGAAAAGTAAAATTTAATATGAAAATTCATATTTTGCATCTAGGAAAAAGCATCTAGGAAAAATGCATCTAGGAAAATCAAAATGAAATTTTCCATCTAGGAAAATGAAAATGCATCTAGGAAAAGGAAAATTTAATATGATAATTCATATTAAATGCATCTAGGAATTCAATGCATCTAGGAAGAATTTCGCATTGCAACGAGACTGGAACCAGACGATGCTTGCATATACACAGATAAAAAAGTTGAGTAATTTCATTAATACTAAAAAATTATTTCTGCAAACAATTCGGAGCATGACGAATTTCAAGCACTTGGTCATTTCGTTTGAAGTGAATTGTGCATGGCAACGCAACCAACTTTTGGACTCAGAGCAAACGACGGAAAAGTGAAGTTTTGAAGGGCAACTTAAAAGTTTCGGAGTATTTTCGAAACTGGCGTTGCTGGGAAAGAAGTTAGTGGCTAACTTCGTGGTGACGTCTGCCTATCATGACACTGCGTACAAGGTTCCTGTTTCTGACACCTAAAGCTCAGTAAAAGAAATTTATTTCGTTTTAAATTTATTTCACTGAGATATACATGAGTGACATTTTCATATGATATTTAGTTAAAATCATTCTGATTTTGTGTGTTTAAAATATTAACCAAGGAATGAAAGGCTTTCTGAGACAAATAGAAATAATTTATTCATTTGAATTTTTTTTCAGTTTTGCTTAATCAAAGATACAGAAATTCATATCAGTTATTGGCCACTTGGATTTATTTTCTGTCATCACTTGTGGGGAAATTAAGTATTATTGTCAACTGATTTCCTTGAAGTACGTTCAAAAATAAGAGAAAGTTACACGGAAAAACAACGACATGAAACTATTAAATAAAGCTAAAAACATTACAAATTCTTTTCTGTGAAACTACCATCGCGTGATAATTCAATATATAAGAAGCCTTAGAATATTAATTTATCTGACATGAAGATATGTGACGGAGCCAACGTAGGCTAGATGTTCCTGGGCGTTTCTGCCGCCTCCAATGACGGTGTGCGTAAAAAAGAAATAAAATTGTTGTTTATAAAATTCCGGGTTAAATACTTTCGGAATGCGAATCAACGAAGCCATCAATACAACTATTATGCGGAGACCACCGTATTACAGTTGTATTGATGCCAGGACCTTATTATAGATGGAATGAGCTCATGACTTCACCGTGTTATAGTACGTTGTATTGAGACCAGGTCTCCACAGTATTACAACTGGAGTGAGGCCAGGACTCGGACACATTATTATTACCTTCACAACAGACGACCAAGTATCTCATCAACAGAAGCAACGACACGGGTGACTGTGCCTGCACCTGATGCTTCTGTGCAAAAAACGTTCAATATTCTCTATCTATAAAGATAGCGGGCTTTGCGCATCCAAATCTTGTTTGGAAGAGTAATGGCCGGCAAAAATTTTTTGATCTACGTAGCCTTGATTGCCATTCATGTAAGATAAAATGACGGCCATGATGGCTGTGATAGACATGTTAGCCATGATGTACCGTAAAGTCATGAAAACCATGTTAACTATGTTAGCAACGATCGACATATTGGTCATGATAGAAATGTTAGCTATAATAGCACTAAACCTGCTTGAACGGCCTTTGTATACTTTAATTAGAAAAAATAAAAATAATATATACTTTTTTCAATATTTACAACTTTGCTTGAAAGGAATATTTTCAGTTTAATCGCACACACATGCTTGGCTTCTTTAAAATATCTACATGTATGAAATCCCAAGGACAATTTTTAATACTTCATAGCGTTGTCGTTCACTTGGTCAGGTCTGGTAAATTAGCTACGCTTTTTGCACTATTTGAAAGCGTCTAACAAGTCGGTAATGATCACAATTAGGCGCGGGCTGGTGAATCACCTCAATTGACATCAAAGGCCTTTTTTCTATTTATCTTTTCTATTTATCTCCTATTTATTACCACAATTGACATCAAAGGCCTTTTTTCTATTTATCTTTTCTATTTATCTCCTATTTATTACCACAATTGGCATCAAAGGCCTTTTTTCTATTTATCTTTTCTATTTATCTTCTATTTATTACCTCAATTGACATCAAAGGCCTTTTTTCTATTTTTCGTGGTTGCCAGTGCAGGTCTCGAATGTGATGTTATTCTCGTCAACTGATTGGTACATTTTAGAACCGCAGGTTTCGACTTTACGACGCATTTTTTTTAGCGAAAGTTGACACGATTCAGTTGTCAAAGGTTGTTCAGAACTGAAAACATTTACAGTGGAATTTAATTAATCGTACGCAACATTGAGTCTTGCTTCTAATTATATAAAAATAGCACAATATTTCATTAATTACTTAATTAATTAAATTTTTTAATCATCGAATTATTATTTTCTAATTATTCCAGTGGTTGATAAATTTGAAGAAATTTCTTAAAAAGTTCCATTCCTAAAAATTTCTCTTATTTAAAAAATATTCGTTACAAGTTAGAAGACGATGGATTCTTCATTTTTTCAACCGAATTCCTGAAATTTAAAATATCCATAACCCTATAAACAAATAAAATTATATTAAAATTACGGTTCAAGTTTATTAAAACCTTCTAGTGAGTTGCGTTCTTTAATCTCGCCAGAGGAATTGATATTAAACTTAATACGAACTATATTACAATTGCTCAAATTCATATTCGTATTTTTGAAAAAAGTGAAGGATCATTTTTAAGAAAAATCATACAAGCAACTTGACTTTTATCTCACTATAAGGATTAAAACTTGCTATTGACGTTTCTTACAAAGAATTAACCGTAAATTGCTCGCCAAATATTTCAATTTTTCATTCAATGTCAAAAAAGCATAATAAATGTAACGAAAGATTTGCTGTGAAAAATGTAGGATCAAATAGATATCCCAGAGTAATAGATAACTTACAGTAAAATATTCCAAGTCTTCAAAATATACTGAAACAACATCACATTTTAAACTACACCAATACAAGGATATCGAAAGAAAATATTATACATTTATAATCATAATAACATGCTACAAAAATGTTAAGATAAAATATATAATCTTAAATGTAACGCCACCCAAAGACCGCCATGTTGCCCACAGGTCCGCTGGTGAAGGTGCGCGTGTCCGCGGGCCACACCGCGCGTCTGCCCTGCACTCACCAGCCGCTGTACGGCAACGACTCGACACGCCTGGTGCTGTGGTACAGGAATGATACGTCCAGACCCTTCCTCAGGTGCTGTGGTACAGGAATGATACGTCCAGACCCTTCCTCAGGTGCTGTGGTCCGGTATATAATATAATGGTTACAGAAAGGTATCTATTAAAATTCATCGCCGTTATTTAATATTATTTTAGTCATCGCAATTATTCTAGTTAGTTTAAGAAATTTACATACGTAGGTTTTGAATTGATTCTGGTTTTATTCATTCATGTTGTAAATACGAGCTGGTGAGAATTACAACAGAATAACGCCTTTAATTGTACACAACCGTGGATCAATTCCCATAAAATATACCACCAACTGATAGGAAGAATTTTCCGTGTCACGGAAAGTTACGTGGAATCGTCACATGGCCAGCGATCTGAGCTACAACAGGGACCGCACATTAAATGCAGCGTGTATTCTAGGCCTTATTATTGACTGCGTTCCAATAGCTACAATTAGTCTAACCATTGACATGTCTGGTGATGCAGATCACGTTTAGCTCTAATTACCAGCATATCATCCGGCTTACATCATTCAAGGGCTGATTATCTGAGCTTTAATGAGGGATTGTGCAGTCCTCCATGTCTGTAATGAAGAACTGCTCGGCCTGACATATGCAGGGCAGCCTGACATGTGATGGTAAACCTTCTACAAATTTAGGTATCAGGAACGTCCCATTGAAGTATTTCCAAAAAATAAAGTTGGGTGCTACCTAAGATTTTCAAATGTTGTTATCAATGAATGTTGATGCGCAACTTATCGAGAATATTTTACATGAGACAAGTTATAAAAGTGACGCATTAACATGAGATGTCTGCTGGATATTTAGGCCGCAATTCAAACATATAATAAATGATGCGTTTGATAATTAAAATAACTTGAGATTACAGAGGTAAAAAATATTTTCAGAAAGTCTTTAAAGATATGAACTGGAGCAAGAAAGGTCAGAACTCGGGTGGAAGATTCTTCTCAGCAACTCTTTCATTTGAATTGTGTGCGATCGCTATATTCTGGTATAAAAGCGATGCTCAGTATATCACTCCTTGCGCACGATACGAATCTTTAGTTAATATTCAAATAAATTATTTCGGATGATGAATATATCTGCAACATTTAGCATTGATTTGTGCGTGAAGTCCGATGCGCATTCGTCGCTTCTGTGCATCCCGGAAAGGAGACGCCGCTTTAGAAATACTATACCAAAACATCCGAAATTTGAACATTTCAAGAACCGGATTAATAATAGATTAGGCAATTTATTTATTAAAGTCTTTTATTGATCCACACAGTCTAAAAAGGCCCGTTTCAACCACACGTTAATACAGCAAAACACAAACTCTCATCATGCCTAATCATGATTGATTTTCCTCATTTCCGCCTAATGAATTACTGAGCGATATCAATAATTGTATTCTAAATTCTGGGCGATAGAGAACCCGAGAGAGGTTTATGAAGACCGCGGCTCACAGATCGTATCGTGTCATCATGAATCATTGGTGCTGTAGTGGTGGTATCGTGTCACCATGAATCATTAGTGCTGTCGTGGTGGTATCGTGTCACCATGAATCATTGGTGCTGTCGTGGTGGTATCTTGTCATCATGAATTATTGGTGCTGTCGTGGCCTGATCAAATAGGGTGATGATCAATAAGTGTCGAGGTCGAAATAAGGATTGGCCGCTTGAATAATCAACAATTGAACTGGAAATTATTATGAAAAACGTGGATGGAAATATTTCTGTGATAGACGAGAGAGCAAGCCAATCACTGAACTAGGTTCACGGCGGTGTAGCGTTATCTCCCTATATTTTATCCGTGTGTCGTTCAGCTAGCTTGCGGTTTCATTCAAAAATCGAGGTTATAAAGTTTGGAAATTATTCCAGGACTACTTGCATCGTTTTAAATTAAATATTTTTCCCGTTTTGTCACAAGTTTCACGGTTTTAATTTTCTAAACATTTGCTGGCAACCCTCTTCTATGCTGGACGTTATTTAAATTTTCAGATTGCTTTAATTAAATGAGCAAAGTCGCGAAGTTTGTTCAAATATGTGATGAACAATGATTTTTTAAATCTCCGCAGCCATAACAATTAATTACTTATTTCGTTTTTTATTCTGTTCCTTAATTGCACTGTGTATTTTTGCCTATAGAGACTATGGTAATCAGGCTACGTGCTTGCAGCACTCCATGTATCAAATGCAATACAGCGATACATAGCAAGTCTAACGAGAACGCAACGTGTTACGACGGTGTTGCGTGACGCGGTAAACATAAACGCATAGTCTCTATATAGCAAATTCATGCATTTAAGGGTTAAAAAAGGAACAGTTATTATGAAAAAAATATTTACTTTATATGTGTTTGTAAAATTTCCCTATACATTTTACCACGCATTAATAAAATTAAGATGCGCTTGATGCTTCATTGAGTCGGTGTGTCTTTCGGTTCAATATAATTGACCGTAAATCCTGCCATAAGTTACGTTTCTTCATGAATTTCACCAAAAAGTTTTCAGAAAGAATGACTTTGATCTAAATTTCTGTGATTTTAAACATGTAGAGATTAGAATTTATTTCAAGCATTATTTTTAAGGCAAGTTTTTTTATTTGTCTGTTCCGTAAATCAGTCATGACGGCCGCGAAGATAAAGAAGTTGAAGGTTCGAAGGAACAACGCCTATTATTCCAACACTACCAACACCACCACCCCGGCGACAACCTCCCTTCCAGCCTCCGAAACTTCAAATCTAAAACGCCGAACTCTGACAGCGAGATTCCATGGAGCGACGACGTCTCGGCAAGCGAGCGAATTTCCCTGGCGGAAGAAGGGCAAACTCTGGTCATCAAATACGTGCAAGAGGACGACCAAGCCGAGTACAGATGCACTGTACACTTCAAAATATCTCCTGCAGTCACCCTGAGAATGCAGCTCACTGTTGTAGGTGAGTTCCTAGAGTACAGATGCACTGTACACTTCAAAATATCTCCTGCAGTCACCCTGAGAATGCAGCTTACTGTTGTAGGTGAGTTCCGCCAAGTAAGTTCACTTCTGAACCAAAATACACATTTTAACAGCGGAAATTATACATTTGGTTCACTATCATTTTACTACTCACCTGTTTAGAGGTGTATGATGTGTTAATGTATCATTTGTTTGTCCGAATTTTGCAATAAGCGAAATCTTTGATCGCTGTAAGCATTACTGTTTCTTTATCGCACGGTTTCGGGTTTGATAATCTTGTTAACAGTTGGTGCGCCGGTTCTTCGTCTGTTCCGACGAACCAGGACCGTTCGACGACTAAGCTGCATTTGATCATTATTCCTGGACCGATATTTCTTGAAAATTTCCTGGGAACGTATTATATATCTTTCTGGAGCCTATTGTATCCGAAAAGGAGTTTGCAAATAAAACTTTCTTTTGGTATGCGCCTATTATCTTAAAGATTGAAAATTTCGGAAAACCTAATATAATTATTGCGTTGGATGCAGATGTCAACAATTTTTTTTATTGCCACTACCGTACAAACACTTGCCGAAGTGCCTCGGAAAATTTATTTGCTTAATTTCTTTACATGATGTTCAAGAATGTAATTTTCATTTTTAGAAAATTTTTTTGACGATTCCTTTGTTTTCAGCCATTATCAAAATCGGATTATTGGCTATAAAATAATATTTTTTACCGTTTTCATCAACAAGATCCATTGTCAATCGTGAAATGGAGCGTTGATTTGCCGTATTTTATTGAAGTAGCTTATTTTTGTATATAACATTTCAAATTAAATAGACTATAATTTTGGGATTCCAAATTTTCACGGAGTAGGTTTAACTTCAATATAAATTCAATTGACCGTTTCATTGTATCCTGTTACTTCAACAATCATTCGTATAAAGTTACCAACAATCACCGTTAAATCGCACGCGACCGTTCACCATGTGCGACTGCTAACACTGCATAACTGGTAACCGTGTACGACCGTTAATCGAACACGACTGTTAACCGTACACGACTGTTAACCGAGCGCGACTGTTAACCGTACACGACTGTTAACCGTACACGACTGTTAACCGTGCGCGACTGATAACCGTACACGGCTGTTAACCGTACGCAACTGTTAACCGTAAACGGCTGTTAACCGTTCGCGACTGTTAACCGTACACGACTGTTAACCGTAAGCGACTGTTAACCGTACACGACTGTTAACCGTACGCGACTGTTAACCGTTCGCGACTGTTAACCGTGCACTACTGTTAACCGTACACGACTGTTAACCGTACGCGACTGTTAACCGTAGAGGACTGTTAACCGGACATGATCTTTAACCGTACACGACTGTTAACCGTAGAGGACTATTAACCGTACATGATCGTTAACCGTACCCGCCCGTTAACCGTGCACGCCCGTTAACCGTACCCGCCCGTTAACTGTACACGCCCGTGAACCGTACACGCCCGTTAACCGTACCCGCCCGTTAACCGTACATGCCCGTTAACCGTACACGCCCGTTAACAGTACCTTTATATTACACGCCTGTTAACCATACCCGCCCGTTAACCGTACCCGCCCGTTAACCGTACCCGCCCGTTAACCGTACCCGCCCGTTACCCGTGCAGAGAGGATATTGGACGTCCGAGTGCAGGACGTGAGCGGGAGGCCCGTGGGGGGCAGCGTGGGGCCGTTCTCAGAGGGCCACCGCCTGCTGCTCACTTGCAGCGCACACTTCGGTAATGGCTAACTCAATTGTTTATAATTGTGATAAGTATTGTTAATTGTAACTTCATTTATTAGTGATTAAAGTCGTTATTTGAGTGATGACCAACTCAATTGTTAAGACTTCTAATGATTACTGTTATTTTTATTATTGTTAATTGTAACTTCGTATATAAGTAATTCAGATAAGGATAGCCTCTGCTATATCTTGTATGTAGCCTCTGCTTATAAGTAGCAGAGGCTAAGCTACAAGTAGCTGCAGCAAATTTCAAAGACAATTTTAATGTTGAATCTCAAATTTCTGTTGGAAACTTAACAATATTATTTATTGAAATTTTAAACACATCCAAATGATTTAAAAATTTGAAATAAAATGTTTCTGTAATTTTGTTTTCGTTATTAATAATAATTTTACATTTTTTTAAGTTTAAATCTCGACGCGTACGTAGAAATTGAATTCATTCACTTCACAAACGTAATTTACGTCGGAGTGTAATGGATAGAAGAGTAGGATGAGGTCAAATTAGAATATTCAATGAGCGTGAAAATTACCAATAAACATGTTCAGATCTTCGAGACATTAATGGCAGGGGTAAACTCATTAATCACGTCGTCGCGATCCTCACGAATTTAAAAGTAGATTTTTTCAACAACTCGACATCATCACCCATATTTAGCCATGGAAATCCAATTTAAATAAAGTTAAATCAGTTGAATAGGATCCAATGGATTAGTGGATTGATCATTAAGAATTCAAGCAATTCAGAATATATGTCACATTCCCTCAGAAATTGCGCAGGGAAAAGAAACACACACACTCTGCTCCATGATACAAGGTTTATTTGAGAGTTGGATTGCAATGAAATGCTTGACATTTTCCATAAATCAAGTTAATGTTTTAAATAAACTCTACGTAATAATGTGCGCAAAAAGAATCCGTACTTCAATCGCACTCGGAAAGTTACAAGGTCCCATGATGGATGTACGTGTGTCAAGTATCAATAATTATTATTTTTTTTATAAAAGGCCTCCCACACTCGCCATTCCAACAAAAATGAATTAATTTTATTAATTAAAAACAGGGAATGGTTTGATGTCAATGATCAGGGCCCCGACCTTAACGCCTCTGATGGTGGCCTACACCGACTCCGTATCAATAAATAAATCATAATAAATATCAATAATATAATATATATAATAAATAATAATAATAAATAAATATCAATAATAGAGTATCAATTAAGTAAAACATGATTCAACAGAATCTATCTTACATTTGAAGGTAAACTTAGGATCTCATAAAATTCTTTATTTTTCTTTGGCTCTTACTTTATAATATAAATTGAGATCTCTAATTAAGGCGATGTGTGATTTTTGAATTTACATTTTCAAGTCTTTTTCTACCGGCGACACCTCTCGTTATCAGGCCATTAGGAACGAATAGCATTGACGATGGTTAATCTATCCGGAGAAAATGGGTTACATGCAATCTTTTTTTTTATTCTTTTGCTTCATTTTCGAATTTTTCATTAGTTAAATTCTAACATTTCCTTCTATAGTCATTATATTTTTCATTTCCGGTTAGTGTTTTCGTAAAATATTCAGTGATTTTAGATGCATGAAAATTGCGCATACTTCCCTTCAAACTGAGGTAATTGAGATATTTACTTCGTTTGCCTGCGTGTCTAAGGCTACGTTTGAGCTCGAACTGACTTGGGAATCCTCTTTTAGCTGGGCGACTGAAGAGCCTCGAGTGGCTGCTGGAGGGCTACCCTCTTCCCTCTTCATGGAGTTCCCCCGACGAGGGCACCGCCGTGACCCACTTGGACTTGACCCTCAATTCATCCCACGACCACAGCGACCTCGTGTGTCGCCTCACCACCTCGGAAATCAATTCTTATTTACCGCCCACCCCACCTTTTGTTGATGCCGGCGAGCGTCTTCATCCTATACTTCAAAATACTAAGATAAATGAGGAAAACTCCCTTGATGAAATCATCGAGAAATCAGAAATTAGGCGGTCTGTTCCCGCGCAAAGTTATGTTAATCTTTCAAGTCCCCGTGCAAGAAAGGAGGAAGTTGACGATATGGCGAACACTTTTCGCATGACCAACTTTCCGCCACAGGAAGTTGGGCCACATTTTTCGCAAGTCAATAGCCGTGCCTCAGAGATCAGTCGAGAGTTTCGACAGGTTATAATAAAGGAAAAGAATTACACAACTTCGGATAATTTGTACCCGGCAACAAATTCGCCTCTAAATCACCGGACAAATTACCATAATTTCTCAGCAAATAGTAGAGGTTTAGTTGTAAACGACACACCAACGACGCGACGGAAGTTACGGGACCATAGGAATACTATTGAAGAACCGGAGACAAGAGTTTTGCATGCGACGACCGGCCGACGTCACTGGAGTAATGCGGTTGAGGACGACGCGGAGACATCGCGTTTCTCGGAGGCACATAAACCGTCCAACGATGTTCCTGTAATGCAAGATAGTTCAATGATGCAGGAAATTCCAGTAATGCAATTGGATGATACAGGCTACAGGAGAGAGAATCTTGCAGAAGACAATAGCGATGATTCCAGCACTTTTGCGCAGTACTTGGCTCGGCATATCAGCCGCGGCGACGACGTCAAGGAAAAGCAACTGCAGCAGCCGGCCGTCATGAACGTCCATCTCAGGAATCGTGACGCCAACGTTCTGCAGTGGCGGGAGACAACTGTCACCGACGTGTCCATCCTCATCCTCATGTATTGTGAGTGTTGAATTAACTGGTTTCTAGTCATTTTATACATTGGTTGGCGTGAGCTTAACTCTAAGTAAATTATTTTGAACACATTTATGACGGGTTCATGGTTGCTTTATATAACGATCAGTCATCTCCCACTATCAGCGCAGCATTGAATTGTGATCAAATAAAATGTAGAAAGATTTTTAGTGCACATTTAAAATTTGTTAATATTGAAAACCTCCTTGAGGTGAGGACATCCACAACAGAGCATAATTAAGTTCTTGTTGGTTTTTGATGCTGGATTTATTAATTGTTTGTATAATTTTGCATTGTTTACATTTATATGTCTTTTGTTATTCTAATTCTATTAGAAAATTACGATACCTTAATTTAATGACGGTCACTTTTAAATGCGTTTATGTATTTTTAAGCACGCACCACCCATTTTTTGCTGCCGTCCGTCTGTCTGTCCATATCCGTGACTTCAAGTTT